TTATCCTTTTCGCATCCTACATACAGGATGTATTAAAAGCATACAACATAACTGCATTATTTATACAGCATATATGAAAACTGTATCCCAAAATACTTTCCAGAGTATCTGGAATAAATCACAAAAGAATACTTATCGTGGTACAAATGTAGTCATACAATTGACTTATATTTATGCATTTTCTGGGACCTATCTATATGGCTTTTATTGATGTTTACAGAAATTTTACTAGTTTCTAATGTTATAGTACTAATTAACCCGATCTCAAATTTACAAAATTTATACTGAAGTGTTACAGTCTTTTCAGTCAGATTTGTTATTATCTATGCTAATTTACATTCCTGCTGATTTGGCTGGAAAGCTCTACATTTTCATGTAACAATTATATAAATACTGTTCCTCTCCCGTTCTTCACAGTTAACAAATTTAGACCAGTAGTCCAATCAAATGATGGTCATCCAGCTCACTGCATGTCAAAATGCTCTTAAAATACAGCATAGACTTCAATCCTTACTTGGTTTAGAAAAAAAAAAATCGTATTTCATCAAATAGTCAAGACAGAATTTACACAGAAAACTTTCACAGGAAAAATTTAATGCCTTGCTCCAGTCTTGGTAAAGTCTTGAGCAGATGATCATAATTTTGCAAGTCTCAGAGTTAAAATAGCTCGCAGTATTTTCAGAGGAGATCCTCAGGAGCATATTAGAAGTAGAATGAACTTCCTTTTGAAGTCTATGTCAAAACATTTTGATACTTCATCCTGCCCTCTCCTACCATTCACTGAGCACCTCAATCCTCAGGTTCTGTTTTCAGAATTCTGGCTAAAACCAGAGGAATAAAGTATTTTTACTTACTTCAACTTAACATCTTACAACACCATGCATTTCCTTTTATCTATAAATACCACCTTCATCCATTCAACTTAAGTTTAAAGGTAACCTTTGCAAACCATGGTTCAGAATTCCTGAAATACAGATGGACTATTTGGGCACAAAAAAATGCTAAAAGGCATTATGTAATGAACTAAAGCTACATCCCTAAGGGACATTAATATGGCCAGTTGGGATTAGTTTTTCGTGTCTTTCTCTTCAAAAACATACTGTCCAAATATTTGCTGTTATCAGCCACTAGAGGGAGATATGATTACACAAGTACAAAGTTTATCCCTGAAGTATGAGTAGGGTCATCACCTTTTGGGTTCATCCATACACTTCCAATTTAAATGCGTTCTCTTTTAGAGTTTCACTTCATGATCTTAGTTGTTCATAATCATAATTCATTTAGTTATTGATCACATTAACTGTTATTTGGGAACTTGGTTCAGCAAACTCAGTCTCCCAAATTCACTCAAGCATCAAAAACTTCAATCAAAAATACCCTATGCACTGTTAAGACCACAGCTTCTCCATGTATCAGCTGTTTCCATGTCTTTGGTATTCAGGTACAAGACAATTTCTCTCCTTTGCATAATGAGGGGGTGCTTTGTCTGAGGACTGTTTTTATAGGGAGCAGACTTTATTCTCAGGGACCTTCTCTTCAAGGCCTTTCCCACTCTAGAGGTTTTGCACCTCTTCTCTGGGAATAGCTGTTTAAGCAAATGTGTGGGATTATGCCTGTTTACCAATGTGACAGCTGGAGGGTTTTCTTTGCCCTTTTGATGTCTATGAGATCCTTTGCAGTCCCTCATCATGTGCAAAGTAAACAGAGTTTCCTTTTAGAGGTATTAAAACTAATGATGTATTTTTTAATTATTCTTTTTAAAAGAAACACTGAGCAGCTGTTAATGTTTGCAACTTCTGTACCAGTGAAGATTACAGGCTTCCTTCACACAGTAGAGAATTTACCTTTTTGTTAATGGCTTTGATTGCAATTATTTCTTGAATTTTGTGCATAATACAATTCATAATACTGTGTTTGACTTTTTAGAAAGAATGAGCATTTTAAGTTCTCAGGAGTTGAACAGGTTGTGAGTTAAAAAATAGCTTATGTGCAAACAGAGGATGATCTGAGCACAAAGCTGTAGAAGTTTGAGCTTCCCACTTTATTTTGTACATGCTTTGATTACATCAAGCAATTCATGTTCCTGCAAGATACCTGTACCACATCAAAACATCCTTCAATCCATCCTCCAATACAGGCTTCTTTATTTAGTAGTTAAACAGCACAGCTACAGAATAAAGTTCCCTAACAAATTCAGAAACCCATGAAATAATGTAGGAATAAGATTTGGATTATGAGGTCAATATTATTATTTTAAATACAACTCTACTGAGTATACTTAATTTGAACAGACAGTACTGAATTTTAAAATTTGCATTAGACTGGAGATAAAAGCTATCACTTTGTGAAGCCCTGTGACAAGGCGAGTACCTCCTGGGATTGACATTCAATGCAAGAACAGTATTAACCATACAAAATGTAAGTTGTTTGTTTTCCATAGCAGTTACTGTAACCAAAAAAAAAAAAATGCCCTTCATTCATGTTAATAGAACTACAAGAAAATATTCATAATTCGTTTTAGTTCACTAAGACTGGGAGATCAAAACAAGATATAAAAAAATACCCTATTTATATTTAAATAAGTTCACTACTAGATGGCATCATTCCTGCTGGTACTTTGAAGTCAAGGATAAGATTTTTAAGTGTTGGCGGGGCGGGGGGGGCGCGAAGTACTCAAAATCCTGATTCAGGATTGCTATTGGATGTATCACCAATAGTCACTCTATCCCATGACTGAGGAAGTGCAAACCAGTGCCTCAGTCCAACAAAGCAAAATCCATTATAATCTGCTCTATCGCTTTCTGTTTTGAGCAACAAACATGACATTCATCTGCATGCGTTGAGGGAATTGTTCGAAACAGCCCAGTTGCATCTCTCCCTCCCAGCAAAAGTGTGATGGTTATGAGTGAACTTCTTCCAGGTGAACAGAGCCCTCAACTATACCAGGTCTCTATCACAGGTGTGAACAGCCCTCACACTTTGTACACAGAGAAAGGGGGAGCTTTCAGACTAATGCCATCTGCCAGCATAGTTTCAGATACTGGTTCTGGTAATATTGTAAATAAAATATATTAGAGCTTCATTACACAAACAGAATTACAACAGAATTGAAGAAAAAAACCTGTACAGTGATACAAGTCTTTCCTTACAGGCATTTGAAATGACACATTGCACTAGACAACTTCTGAAGAAGCAATATTGACTGCTGTTTCACCCATCCTGCTTCCTTCATAACCCGCTCACAGTTAATGTCAGTAGAAACTTCAGATACGAAGTTACTAAAGAGCTGCTTTCAGGATAAATTTAGCAAGACTCCATGCTGCTGTTCTTCTCTATGACTTGATAAAAATTTATCTAATCAAGCTGCAAAGGCGCAAGATATTTGCTCATATTTAGAAAGCACGTTGACCTGAACGCTCAAGACGTACTGTTCTTTGTGCTAAATTCCAACACTCTCTTGAATGGGGTGTATGTCCTCACCGGCCTTGCACTTTCAGGAGATCTTCCGTTCTCAGTACTTGTACTGTTATGGAGACAAGAAAAAGCTTACAGAGTTAATGTCAAGAGGATCAGACAGCTGGGCTGGAAATGCCACAGCAATGAACTTGTGCCTCGTTACTGATACTGACAGGCTAAAATGAAACTATTCAGTGTATTTGATATGTTCCATATTTCTTTTGTATAATGCCACAAAGAATATTTGATAAAAACCATGGCACATACAAGTTTACATGCAGGCATCTGCTGGAGCTCATATTGGAATGTCCAGCAATACAGTTACTAGGACTAAGGATCCTGCAACAATAAAGGCAGCAATATTACATTTAAGAACACAATTAGTTGTGAAGAGTAATTCCATAAACTCTAAATTGCATAGAGGTAGATTTCTGCATTGAGATAAATCTCAAAAACAGGAAAAATATCAGGTAAGTAGGGCCTGTGGTTATTACATACAGAGGGGCCCCAGAGAGGACAACAAAGATAGCTTTATTTTGGCACCCTGAGTGAACAACACTGTTTTTGAGGTTTCAAAACTCATGCCATTAAAATATGCTCTAGGCTGAACACTGAAATGAGTGTATTTTTTAAATGAGAAGGAAAGTTTAGTTTGTATTGCAGCTTGCTGATTTCATATACTAATTTACATTCCTCAAACTAAATTATTCAATTTGCAGGGCAGTTAAGGTGAACAAGTTTACTTGTTGGTAGTAAAAGTAATGTGCAATGGTCCTCCTTACCTTACTATTTTCCTTTCTGTTTTGCCCTTCCTGTGGTGACTCACTGAGGGGAAGATTCAAGTGCAAGTCCATAGCCTTGCTCCCAGGGCTCAATGCAACCCTGTTGCTGTGTTCAGGGCAGAGAAAGGGAAGGCACAATACCTGGATCTTTACAAAGCCAGGCTACAGAACCACTGGCCACCACAGATCAGAGACAACCATTCCAGTGCAGAAGTGGTAATGTTACCACACTGTTTACTTGGCAATTTTCCACCTCAGGCTAGGATATCTCCAGAAATTGCTGCAGCCCTAAACTGTTACTGTTAGTGTTACCTGCCCTTCAAAGTGGTCTCAGACGCATCTCCCAGAACACAAAGAATAAAGCATGCACGAAGCCAGCACCAACCAGCCTCAGGGCAGAGTTGTCCATTGTCTTCTGCATGGTACCCACAGACACATTTGATCAATATTTCCCATATTTCACAAAGCCAGATCTCTTGACTTCTAGCTTTACTCCCTGCTTAAATCACATTACTGTAAATAAGTACTCCCCAAGGGTTTGCAATATGTTTACATCTTTAAAAAAAAAAACAAAAAACAAACCTACTCCATAAGTCATTGAAGTACACTACACCTAGTAGATGGGCTCTTTTAAACTGAGGAAAATTTTGCAAGACCCCACAATCCACTCTAACAGTTTCTCAGCACAATGGTTTACTAATACAACACCAATGAGGGACATTATGAAGATGTTTCCTATGAACAAGCAGAAAAAGTAAATACCTGTATGGAAGATCACATCCTACACCAGTATCTCTGGTTTCTATATTGGTCTTTGGTTGGGTTTCCATTAAGTAGTCCAATTTATCTTGTAATTCTTTATTCTGGAAAACAGTAATTTTCATCGCAAGTTTATTTTATTTAAATTATGTTAATTAAACAAGGAAACAAAATTGCACATTGGCTTATCCCCACAAGAAATAATGTAGAAGTATTTATTGAAAAAATAAAGGAATCCTTACTTCTGGGAAAAAATATAAATTAAACCAACAGTTTTATTCAGAAGCTTCTGTTTTAAGTAATTATAATACTGTTACAAAATTGTATGTTAAGAAACATAGCATGAATATTGAGACTTTGTATTACATACATTCCTCATGTGACTGGTGTCGTAAGTTTGATTTCCATACTGAAGAACAGCAAACGCATATAGTAAATATGCATCCAGATAACATCAGGTGACATCGGTTCAAATTTTATTTGGTTTCATAAAATAATCACAATAATGTAAACTTAAAAGGTAATGCCTTACCTCACATTCTAAGAAAGAGATTTTTTCTAAAAGTTGTATTATAAATAATTCCTTTTCTTTTACTTTCTTCCTTAGCATTTCAATCTATGAAGACAAATAAAATAAAGACATTTAGTCTAATGGGGATGGGAAGAGGAGGAAAAAGACCTAGATACCACAGGAAGAACACATGTTTAATTTTACTGTTAAGCAACAATTGAATACCTATACGTATTCACAAGCTGCTTTAATCCAGGGATTAGCTATCATCCCATACAATTAGGATCATTTACATAAAGATGATACACATATACTAACGTGGCTTTTAAGAATTTGTATTTTTCTGGAAAGACAACAGAAAGTCAAACATTGTCATGTAACAAAGCAAACTAGGGAAAACTCCATCTTTGATTCAAAGGCCTTTGCTCTAGTCAATTTTAACAATGTCCAAAAACATGCTGCACATTTGCTAGTTTCTTGAAGGTCTTATTTCTTTGGTTATTTCCTGGCATACCAGACTCCTTGGAAAAAAAGTGCATTTTCATTTTGTATCTAGGAAATGGAAAGAAGTTATTTACAAATGTTCATGAAAATTAAAATAAAGTTAGCTGCACCAGAAGCATTGCATCTTAATACTGTTCCGTATGGAACAGAAGACCATCTGCCTTATATTCTGGGATTTCTGCTGGTCACAGAGCCATACACAACAAGAACTTTTGCATTAAATCTTTCCCTGCTATCAGCACAAGCAGGTATGACCAGAGAAACTGGGTATGACCCAGATTTCATACCAGTCCCTTGCTGCTGGCCCAAAGCTGTTCTGATTGTGTGGTAATGGCTTTTTAAAGTTCCTAAAGCCACAGTTTTCCATTCTTCTGAACCCTTTGCTTAAAGCAAGATTCGCTGTGCGAGGTTCCTACTGTTACCAGCAATAGTCTAACAGATCTGTTGACTGGCTGAGAGGTCAGTTCCTTTCAGTAAACCGCATTTAGGAGACAACAGCATCTTGTGCAAACAAACTGAATCTTCTCCTTGGACCAAAGGAAAAGTCACTTGTTATTCTCTCTCAACCTCTGCTGATTACACCTACTAAAATAGCAGCTAATAAAAAGAGCAAAACAAAACAATAGCTAAATAACAACTTCAGTTGTTACTGCTTCCCCAGGAGGCAGTTCAGGTTATTATTCTTAGACAGCTGTAGACATACATCACTTTGCAAGCACAGAAGACAAGGTACTTCCTATATCTGTAGTTACAGTCTACTTCAGATGCAGAAAGCAGTATTAAAAACATGTATCTTCCAAGGAGAATCACCAGAAGTGCACTGAAAGATCAGTCTGAAGGAGAAATCAGATTCTGCATCATGTTAGTGTTCAGGTAGGAACTGGGAGAAGACAGATTTCCCACTGTTCTGTGCTCATGCAAGTCTTGTCCTGCAGCAACACCAATGAAAGCTGATAGCAGTGCTCCCAGTGTTAAATGGTGTCAGGTCAATAATTTTTCCAATTAAATTTCAATTCACCTTTCTTCAATAAGCCATTTCAGGTCAGACAACATGAAAGTCAAAAACTCTATTTTCCCCCTATTAAGTCCATGGGAATGTGTCTCTCAGCTGAGTTGCTTCAACATCGTTAGCTAAGCCCCTCTCCATGCTAGCTCTCTTTAAATAGGCAGTGCCCAACCAACAACTTCTGCTTTACCGAACAGTGCATTATCTAAGGCAATTGTCTCCACAATTCATTAAAGTAAATTGAAGATATAAAAACTTTCCAATCTTAAGCCTGAAAGCAGAATCAGAAGTAAACCAAGCTAGTAAATGGATGGTCTGCATCACAAATGGAATGCTAGAGTCTGCCATGCAGTGCTTTTAGTAAAGTCTCTATTACTGTATATATAAAAAAGTGCACCCCTTAGAGCTATATTAGATGAGGAAAGAAAGATATTCAAACTGCCATTTCAGCACTAGAAAAGTGTGTATCCTGCACATTCCTTCACATTTTTGGGCTACATGCCAACAGTGAAAAAAAACCCCCACATCTATGCCTATAGCTTTTTTATCGCCAGAAAACTGTAAAAATACCTATGCATAATAAAAAAATAGGTATTTTCTATAAAACTTCACATTAAGTGAGATAGCTTTATTTTGTCAGGTTATTGATTGGCTGTGGAAAAAAAAGTAAAAAGTATTTGTTAGTAAAAATTTAGTGGACTTTTACTAAAGTGAATTCATTTTGTAGAACAGCCAAACTGAAATCAAGGAAAGCTCAGAATACATTAGTTTTTCCTGGCAGTCATTATGTTACATCGATATGCAAGAAAGACCATTTCTAAATACATGGGTCAAATTTTCCATGCACTCTCACCAGTCACTTTTTAACTCTCTATCTTAAAATCGATTTTGTGAGAGAACATTAACAAACCCCTTCAAAACCACCAGTGTAAAACTTTTCAGCATGTCTGGAAACAATGATTAGTAGAAATATTCACATCCTGCTAAAAGAGAATGATAAAATGCTCAAAGGTACAATAATCAAAACAACAGTAGTACTATCACCCTCCCAAAATTTACTGCTAGGTATTATAAAACATTTCAATCAAAATGTACAGAACTATGAAAAAAAATGAAGCAAAACAAATGCATAAATTAAACTAAAAAAATGAAAAATTATAAAACCAACTTAACTTTAACTTTGGTCTCCATGATCTTCAGTTATCACATCTCATTGACACAATGATCAGTTATTACTTGGAAATGCTAACATGTAAACCCCATACAGGAAGTGTTTTCAGCTGAAGAGTTACAGAATATGAGTGCTATCATCATCCATCTTTCTCAAAAGCAGGTTTGTGGTTTTTTTTCTTTTAAGGTGCATGTAAAAACTATCCATGTTATCTAAAGCTATTATCATTTCAGTTTTCAAATCACAGAAACACAAAGCTTGTAGCATTTTCAGAAAATCTTAGAACATATTTTGATCTTCATATTTAATTACAACTTTATTTAGTAGTATGACTAAATTAAGGCAGCTATATCTTCACTGGTTCAATAGCTTCAGTCCTGCCAATAAATTCCATTTCAGAAAAGATAAACTGTTCTTTTAGGACTTTCAAGTGGGTCTTCTCTATTAATATTCTGTTCTCCTACTATGCATACAAGGAAATAATTTTAAGACCAGTAATCAGTATGACACAAAGATGACTGAAGCCAAGCGCAGCTATGTGATCAGGGGGGGTTTTGCCCTGACAGGTATCCATTCTTGTTATTGAAGATAATATACTTCAGCTGCTGCCTATTCCATTTTTTAGATCAAACACAAAACATTTCTGTTTCCAAATAAGATCGAATTATCTGTTATCCAAAAGCAAGACCAAACTCTTGTGTTTCATAGCCATTTACCTTGATAAATTCACTATATGATACAAAGGGTCTAAGATGTGAAATAAGCTATGATTGTAACCCTTATGTTTACCAGTATTATGTACAAATAGATTTAGCGTAAGTTAAAATCAGACTTTTAATTGTTTATTCTTCACATTGGCTACAGAGACACGAACTCCCTAAGGATGTTTTTGAGTTATTTTAACGAGAATAGTCTGAAGGCAAAAATGAGCATGGACAGCTTAAAATCTAAAAATCCAACAGAGAATACAAAGACGAAGACCTCAGCTTCCTCCCCTTCCCAAACATAAACCTCAACTCCAGAAAGACATTTTGTCATTAAGACATTTTGTCATTTGGCAGGAATGTTAGTGTTTTTCCTTTTTTTTTTTTTTTGGTGAGAATCTGCTAAGGACTGGCAAACTGAACTATACACAACAGTACTCCCTGCCTCATTTTAACATGTTTACATAGTACCAGTCAGAAGCCATTAAATCTATCCACTTTGTCCCTCTGAAGAATTATGCCAGAATTTTAAAATATGCCTTCTCTTCTACAGTATAGAGAAGAGACAATGTGGTACTATATCATCACATGCACAAAGTCTTAGTCTAGCAGTAAAACAGAATGGAATGATTAGACCATGCAGATTACAGATATGATAAGGGTAACATATAAAACCTCTTGGTGGATCTTCAGAACATTATGAACTCAAAGACACAGCCCACACAGACCAAATACGTTCCAGGAAAAATAAATTCAGCAGTAGTGAAAATGAGAGGCTGTTTCAGCACCAGGAAAAAAATCCTGTAGTCCCTGCTCCTCACATGCAGCAGAGCTACCCTTTGAGGCTGCTGCAGAAGGAAAGCACGGCCAGAACGTAGCAGGGCACCTGTATTACTTCATACAGGCATGCTGCACCCCCAAACAAACGGCCAACTAGTTGTCTCAGCAGCTACTGGAGTCCAAGGGCTGAAACAATTTCCAAAGTTATGACACACCTTTAAACCTACCCACAAACCAGACATAGATGACACATCCCACCAGAGTGGTTTACTACAAAAAAAGTTTATTTACTGAACAAGGACTTGAGTACACATCATCTTATGCCATTAGGACCAGGAGTGAGCAAACCTGATTTGATTAACCCTTGAGGGAATATGTCCCAGGAAACCAGGAAAACCAGGAATAACTTTAGGGGATTACATTAATATATTACTATATTAAATAAAATGCAGCCTTAATTCAATACATTTATATGTCACATTGCATAAAGTAAAAGTGATGGTTTCCTTTGAGAGAGGAATGTAACAAGAACACTGGGTCATAATGCTGATATTGGGTAAAAGCACTTCAAAAATAAAATTCATGCCTTGCTACTTAATATCATTTTGATTTTTCCATGAAAGTGTTAGTTATGGTGAACTAAGATAAGATGGTAACACTTACAGCACCATAAACCTGTATTGCACAAACCCAAGTCTTCAGAGTGTTTTTGTTTCAAGGAGTTGCATAAAGCAAGAGAATGACTAGCAGGTGACAGAGCCATAGATTTTGGCTTTTGGTTGAATATAAGGTAAGGAGGAGAGGAGAAGCAAGATAGGTCAAACACAATACTGAACTGAGGGCCCAAGTGGCGGCCAGAATAGTCTAGGGTCAGAAACAAATCAGTGCAAGTCAAAGACTCTCAACTTCCACAGACTGACTCTTGGATCTGAGTCACTTC